AAATTAATTAAAAATTTCAGTGCAATATACTTAAAAAACCAGTATGGGTATCAAATGAAGCAGCTTCTGTAGAGTTAAAACACAGTACATTTTTTGGTGCGTGAGGGACGGGTAGGTATTTAAAATATAATTTTATTATTTTATCCTCTCTTATCCTTGAAATTTTTCAATCCTTATTTTTGGAAAAATTATGTGTTAAGGACTAACTTTATTAGCTTAAAAAAAAATTGTATAAAGAGGCATTTTCAATTTCTATTCGTCCTTGTTAAGTAAAAAAAAATATTTCATTTGGTACCCATACTTTTTTTACATTGCACTGAATTAAAATAAATTTTGGTATTAACCATATCTTTAAAATTGATAAGTGATATTTTTTCAAATTTTTCGTTTTGATGCAGAAATGCATCTAGATGCTTTAGGAATATTTCTGCAAAAAAATAAAAATTTGAAAAAATGTCGCTCACGTTATTTTGGCGGCTAGGGCTCGATAAAGTATTTTTAAAAAAATCATGACGTCAGAAAAATACCTATTTATATGCGGTTAATTATGTGTAATATGAGGTAGACTTTTATAAAAACATTTAAATTTTGGATAAGCAAAAGGAATATAGACAAAACTGGTCGAACTAAGGCGCTTCTTTTATTTCTGCCACCAGTATTATGAACTTCTTTCAATCAGAAAATATATTTTTTATTTAATTTTTTTTTTGCATCGAGCTTTTTTCGACATATCTTAAATTACTTTATCAGATATGTACACACTAAATTATTATTAAATGCATAAAACTTAATTACTGTCTTTCGTTTTGTTACTTATTAAATAATTTTCTCTTTAAATAAAAAGTACGTTCCAAACTCATTTACTTATTATTTATTATATGGTAGGATAGCTTCTCAAATCATGTCTAAATCCCGGGACTGATGCCGGGATCCCGGGATTACACCCCGAAAATCCTGAGATCGTAAAAATCGAAAAAATTAACATCCCTAATACATACATACCCAGTGGGAATAGTAATGCATTACATGAGTGATAAATAATGTAACGTATTTCTTATGAGTTCTAGATTCTATTACTGGATAATATGTAATCAGCATTCTAATGTATCCAAAGAGTCGTCATCATATTCATCTTACATCGCATTGATTCCTGCAAAAAGTTTAATGCCACACTTTTCCTAGGACATCGCCGTGGGAAAAACAAATGTGAAAACCGCTGTTTTTCTGAATATTTTTTTCGATTACTACACATTACATATTCCCACTGGGTATGTACATACATACATATGTATGCACGTTAGTTTCCATTTATGTATTCATAATTACTGCAAACGCCTCTATGCATAACAAAAACACGCCTCCTAAGTGTAATCTTTGAAGAACTCCTCAGGCACAATCGACTCACAGTGCGACATAAAAATGCTCTCTGTGGTAGTTTGTTGGATAAATATTTATCTACTCATTAGTATATTTGCTTGTATCCATATAACTCTGACGTCAATGGCGATGTTGTATGCATAGCCTGGGAAATGAAGTGTGAAATGAAGACGAGACTGGCTAGCCAAGTTAACACTTCAAAGCAAATAAATGAATGCCTAATGGGCTTATAATAAGGGAATTTAATTAAAAAGTATGGGAAGTTATTGAAATACTTTTTAAAACTTTGAATGTTTTGTACCACGCCATGGTGGAATTATACCAGGTAATTAGAGTGAGAAGAAAGATTTTGACACAGCATATTTGAAAAATTCCATATAAAATTGGACTATAAGACTATTTCAAAATATTTAACTGGATCTAGAACTAAAAATCGTCACAATGGCGCTTACGACAATATTTTATCCAGGCGACGATATGTAGTTATAACCAGCGCTTAGGTCCCCAATCGTTTTATGCAATAAAAAAAATTTAGTTAGTTACAGCCTTTTTGCATATCAGTTACGTTTCTATCCGAAATAACGAAATGCTTATCATCAGCAAATTTTCACACAAAAAAAAAAAAACAAAAAAAAACTCTAGTTAACTTGTCACCGAAAACGCACCTTAGATAAATACATTTGGATCATAAACACTATCTGCATGTTATGTTTGAAAGTCCCTAATTCCGTCAGCGCACATACAACATACGTACATACATATGTATGTACATCCGGTTGACGTATTGCCTCCTATCAAATACGTAATTATGGCAATTTTCTCCGTCTATATTTGTACGTACATATGAATCTTTCTGACTTCGATTGTCGCTAGTGTACGCTCTTTGCATTTGGTATTTTTCGCTAATTTTAGGAAAAGAGGAAATCCAAGGAAACAAAAGCAAGAAATTGCACAGAAGTAATAATGATGCCCCCTACAATTTTGCTGCTTTACCACGGCTACCAATAAGTCAACTACTTGTTGTTGTTATAACAACAACGAATATCTGGACTAAGCTTAAAGCGAAAATCCAATGACTCAACATCGAATTTTGGACGCAAGAACAAGTATGGGTACAGGTAATATAATGTACCAACCATTATTATACATAATTTGCGTATCAACCCGTCGATGCGTTTTTTTCATTGATACTACAGAAATGTTTACAATGTTTAAACAAGAATTATTTGGCCCAGCTAGAAGTCATAGCGCCATTAACAAAATTATATAAATATTAAAAATTTATATCACAACTTAATTGCTTTTAAAAATTCAATTAATGGCTTCCCTGGTACAGTGTAAAATAATGGACCAACCATTACTATACTTACATAAATAATTTGCGTATCAACCCTCGATGCGTTCATCCATCGCGTGGTTTTTTTGCTTTCATTATTTTTATTGCGGATTTTGTTTTGCTTTTTCATTTCAGTACAAAGAGCCAGATTGTGTCTACGTGCCGTTTTAAAGACAACACGAAAACGTCCTAACCGCTGACGTGATTGCCGACAAAAGGGAAATGGCGTCAAAACAAAGCCACGAAAAGTCGACTTGAAAGCCGCTGCAGCGTTGGACAGCTCACCACCAAAAAAAAAGCCAAATGGTGCGCGAAACTCAAATGACTAACAAAACAAAGAAACAGAATCTACCTACATACTACATATGTACATACAGTACCAAAAATCAACGCGATTTTTTAGCAACTTAAAACATACACCTCACCATGATAAAAATATAGTAAGGTAGAACCGCTGAGAGTCACTTTTAAAATTCTTGACGTTTCCAAACAATTTAATTTTTAAATTTACTCACAAACTCACACACACATTTTCATTTTCAATCTCAAGCAACAACAATTTCGAACAATTTCATTTTTTTATTTTCACATTTATATGATTTTAAAATGTTGGCAAACTTCAAAAAAAAATCATGGCCGACAAATTGAGAGAACGGTTATACCTTGCTATGTTTTTATCATGCACCTCACTATACTAAAATTTAGTGGGCTATAAAACCACATACTCATAAATTTAAAAAAAAAAATCTGATTAAAAAGTTGAAATTTAGATGCAATTTTTCAAAATTTTTAAAATTTTGCACAAAGTTTGAAACGTGAATTTATATGGTTTTTGTTAGATAACGAGCTATAATTTTATACAAAAAAATAATAAATATTTAATAAACGACAGAAAAATAGGCAAACACTGAAAAAAATGTCGTGTCCCTATTTATTTTTCCACCACTATATACATACATATGTACCCACCGTAAACATGAGCATACAAACATAAAATGCAATACTAAAAAAGGCAAAAACATCAGCAGCAACGGCTAAAGTAAAACAAAGTCTGTCAATATCAATACCAAGCGTTTTTTTCCTTTACGGGAAGCTAGAAAGCGCCTGCGCCACCAAAAGCAAAGAGTGTAGGTACATTGCGTAGCCCAAAACGAAATTTGTTTTCAGAAAAACAAATAGACTCGAAATTGATCAAAGACAATTTTTTGTTTGGTTTTGCAAGGATAGGTTTATGTAAACAGCGATAGATAAAAGTGATTGATAAAACGGCTAAGGCGTGTCTTTGGGAAACCTATTCGGATTTATTTATATGAAAAAATCTAAAGCCCAAAGTTTAGAAAGCAAGATACAAATTTGTAACCTATGGTTTGCCATTTCAAATTATCTGGAATAATAAAACATGTTAAACCAAAGTTGAAGTCCATACAAGAGCGATAAATAAATAAATAAATAAATATATGGGATCGTAGTCTAATCCTAATAAAGTGATATCATACGATCTTTATTGCTTATTCAACATTATTGTAATTAACTTTAGCGGATAATAGTTAAATAAAAGCCTCAAAGGTGAAATGTACCTAAACAGGATTTTCCATCCATATACATGTATCAAAAATGCCCATATACCTAAACAAAAAATGTGTCTTTCGTTCATGAGCCATATATGTCTGCAAATCAAAAAAAAAATTTAAAACCAGTTATGTATACACAAAATACAAACTATGCGAAATAAAAACAAAACGGAAAAGCAAAAATTATGAAGTACATAACAGTATACATACACATACATAAACACAAAATTTAATACAGAATAGCAAATAAATACCAATCGTGGTGACATAAAATACTCGCTGCTTTAACGCCGATAAAAGGTAAACAACGCGATACAGTTAAAAGACAACAAGTATGTACCAACAACATTGCATAGTAATTGACTTCGATAGGTATTGCGATGGGGAAAGGTAGATACACTTTGTTGCTAGACAAACTGACGAGAAAACACTTTAAAATGGCTGCTGAAAGGCTTCCTTTCAGCAATTTTTACTAACGTGGCAAAATTGCATGGTATTGCTTTTTGCCATTATGTATGTATTTACATCAACTATTATTATGTAGACTCACAGCTGGTATTTGTACGTATAAGGGTAATACAGCTAGATATACATTTGTATTTGTGCATCTGTATTTAAAAAAAATTTAAAAACTACTTACCACCGAGCAAGTCTTCACCCGTTTTTGGTGGAGTCGAGGTCATTTTGTTGGCTTTTCTTGCGTTTGTTTAGATGTGTGTAGTTGATTTTTCACTTTGCTCTTTACCGATATTTACAAATTTATCACGAAACGATGGACGGTCAGATAGGTGCGTGTTTTAGTAAAAATGCTGCTCGATCTCGTGTACTATAGTTCAAAAGATATTTATTTTTCCTACGGCGATAGCATTCAGCAACGCAAAATACGTGTTTAAGAAAACGAGCTTCCGTAAATAAAATGTATGTTTACAACGCGTTTTCCACGCCTGCGGTTTTTGAACTTGCAAAAAACTGCCTCCCTTAACAGGCGCAATTTTTTCACAAATTTCGTATTTATGTACAATGCACTAAAGCACCAGTAATGCGAATTGTAATTGCAGCTTTACTCTTTATATACTGTAAATTGGTTACAAATTCCTTAATGCGTTTTAAATAAATGCGTTCAATGCGAACGACTATTTTTCTCCGACAACCTCGAAAACTTCCACGAATTTAACCATTCGCGGCGAACGAAAGACAACGAATGAACAAAAGTGGCGATTTGCAAAAAGAACGAGCAACATTTGGTGGAAATGTGGCCACTTGGCAAAAAAAAGAGTATAATGCTAAGTTTACACCTGGGCCCAAGGAACGAGCAACATGAACGAACGACACAAGATCACGCAAGAACAAGAAAGTGAAAAAGTCGATTTTTTGAGCGGGTTCTACGCCATCTTGTTTCGCTGGAAACCGAAAGAAAAGAAAACAACGAAAATCAAAATTAACCAAAATTATTGTCAGCCATTTTAAATACACAATTTGGCTAAAATGATTCATTAAAAAGCTTTACAACGTGATTTCATGTGCAATTAACTCTTCTTAAGTTATAGAAAATAATAAAATAGTGGTGCTCGCGATGTAAACAAATGCTCAGCTGTCGAATACGCTTTCACAAACATTTTTCTTAAAACCAGTTACAAAAACAACGTTGCGTTCTTGCTCGATCTTCTCTTTTTGATTCATGGGACGAGCACATTTGGTACAAAGTGTATTTAAATTAGGACTTTCGATTTCTGCTCGCACATTCTCGAGATTTCCGGGTATCGCCATTCTCACGACCAATTTTGAGTAGTTATCGAGACATACATACTGTGGCGAATACTGCGGCAACACAAAGCGAACAACGA